TCTAGAAAGAGGGAAGGTCAAGCTAACGACTAATTACCTTCAAACTGATGCCAATAAGCAGAAGATTCAGATCCACTAGCTGCTCTTGCAATATTCCTCTTATACTTCAAGTCTTCTTCTTAGAAATCACCTTCCAATCTTGAAAATCACAGAAGAATGGAGCACACACACGAATTAGGGTTTTGGGACTCACAAGGGGCTGTAATGGGAGGCTAAGGAGGCAAAGGATCCTTTAAATAGGGTGCAAACCCCTGAAAATTAGGGTTTAATCCTTCAGCTCCAACTTATCAAGTTGGTCACTTAAACATATGGCCAAAAACATTCCTACTCAACGAGTTAGGGCACCAAATCATCGAGTAGACCTTTCAATATGAAAAATAAAGCTGTAAAATTAATATCTGAGAGCTGGGGCGTTTCAATATGGTGTCACATATTTTTAGAATGATGTAGAATTGTAAATACCATCTGCCAGAGGCGATACAGATAGTCTTATGTAGCAACCCAAAAATTTTAATCCAAAAAAGTATAAACCCTAACCTAATACAAGTGGAACACATTGCAATTCTTATTGCATTGTATCAACTAATGCCTTAAGGGCATCTTTATAAGCTAATAACTAAGTATAGTTTAAAGACTATATCAATTTAAGTTAATATATGTCAACATAAGATAAAAGTTTAAAGTTTAAAACATGAAATAACCCCCATTCATGAGTCTACGGTCCAAAGATCCTAGAAACACTTAGATTTCGGTCCTAGGATTCTAGAACAAAGTGATTTCGGCCAAGAGAATCTTAAGAAAAAGGGTTTACGATATGGAAGTTAATTCAAAAGGAGTTTCTGGTTTGTCTTTGACCTAAATCTCTGGCTTTCAATATCCCATGACCGAAAACACAACCAAAAGTCCATTAATGAACCGAAACCCAAAGCCAAGGCACTTTAAGGCCGAACACTTTCCTATATATATATATATATATATATATATATATATATATATATATATATACATATATATATATATACATATATATATATATATATTCAGCCGCACACACTCCTCATTTCTCACTTTTCACACTACAAACGCTTTCCATTTTGCTCTCGAGTATCATCCATAAACAACATATTTTCATAAGGATTTTACCCAAATCTTCTTATTTTCATCAATAACACCAAGAACGATCTTCAAATCTTCAAGCCTCTAAACGAAAACCCACCCAACACACTGTAAACGTCTAGAATTATTTCAAATAAGTCCTAAGATTTTTTGTAAGTATTTATTACATTATTAAGTGTTGTCTAATATTTTAAATTATTATTTAATTTATTTAAATTAATATCTTATTAATTTAAATACGACGTCGGAAATAATTATTTTTAGGATATGACTATTTCCACGTACGCTAGCTGAGGATCGTCACTACAATTCTCTATTCAAACACAAACGCATATTCGAGGTGAGTTCATACCCCTACGTTTTCACTATTTTTCAATGTTTTTAGGGGGGATACAAGTAAAACATAAGGAAACTTGAGTTAACATTTAAACGATTTCAAAACCATTTCAAACCATTTGCAATTGTATCAAACTGATTTATTATATATATATATATATATATATATATATATATATATATATATATATATATATATATATATATATATATATATATATATATATATATATATATATATATATAAGGTTCAACAGACTTAGAATTGGCAATTTCATCCTAAATCCTATTCCTTGTCCGGTTGTAGGTTTAGGATAGAATTATTTATTCAACTGTCTTTTCATTCTTAATTTTATATATATATATATATATATATATATATATATATATGTGTGTGTGTGTGTGTGTGTGTGAATATAAAAATATTATTCGTTAAATTGATAACCCTTTTGTAACACGTCGAGCAAAAGGGTATTTTTCAAAAATCTCTTAATACCGCTTTATACACACTGTTAAATTGACAAGGCTTTCAGTTCATTACAGAGCATACATTTAAACTATAATATGTATAGTTTTTGAATCACTACACTATTTTACTAAGTTCAAGAAACAATACAAGAACATACTTGTAAGCTATAATAGGTATAGTTTATGGAACATTACTCTATTTCACTATTTCAAGGATACACTACTAAATAATTATTTAAGCTTAATTATTTTACATTACAAAGTACATTATTACAAGGTAATACATACAGTTTCAAGTACAAGAGAACACTATAACACTACACATAAACTAGTTAATACATGGTCTCCTAGAGGGAGATTGTGAATTTATGTATAGATCTATACGGGACTGACAATCCCGCACCTGAGCTACTTGCAACAGCTAGGCCGACATGCCTAGGGTGATAAATTTCATAACATTCCGACACCTGAAGAACATCGTAGAGGCCCTTAGTCATTTTAGCATGGTTATATGACACTCACAATAGTATCAACTAAACATTGTTTACGAGATTAACACTACTTCAAAGGTTTTATTTTAATAATAAGACTACACAACTTTTCTTGTAACAAGAACATACAATTTAGAAGGGATATATAATGCTAATTCTATGATTCCTTAGTTTATATGTTAGTGTTATATATAAATAGGATCTGATAGGCAGTAGAATAGGTGGTTTCCGCTATACTTTATGTTCCTTGTTTGGTTGTAGGCATAGAGCAGATCCATACAGTCTACTATCCATTCGATCTCGGCTATATATATGACTATTATACCCTAAGTAATCATAGGGGGAAACAGGTATGGGTCAGGTCACTATATACAAGTACACTACACTATTTTCTAGTACAGAACTCACGGTTTTGGGGAATACATATATCTATATAGTTTTATCAAGTAATAAAACTATAAGTATACTAAATTAGCATACATTAACATGCTTACATTTTGGTTTTAAGGTCTAAGACTACATCTCATTATACTAAGAAAATATTGGATTTTCTGAAAGGACACACTCATATTTCTAAAAGGACCATTATAGATAACTCTATAAGTATTTAGTGAATATGTTAGGGTTATATACAATGAAGATCCGACAGGCAGTGGAATGTGTGGATTCCGCCTCATTTCCTGTTCCATGTTTAGTTGTGGTCTTAGGGCAGAACCACACAATCGATTGCATGTTCAATCCGAATTTTATATAACTTGTTTACACTAAGTACTCGTAGAAGGAACTAGTTTGGGTCACATTTCATTACATCAGAAAATATAGGATTTTCTGGAGGAACACACTAAGGTTTTCAAGGAATAAAGAACATAATTTATAAAATAAAATGCTTATTAAATCACCAACTTTAATGTTAACACTTTCAAAACCACTTGTATTCTCAGGACACTAGTAGACCCACGTCGTTCCAGTTTGGGGGTGTGACATCTTAAGTGTTGATTTTTTTTAAGATTTAAAAGGATTGTAGTCTACTTACCATATGTATAGATATTAGCAAATGAAGTGTCTAACCAAACATCTACAATGTGTAAGAAGAATACTGTTTTTAGAATTTTGTAAGCTATATAAAAAATAACCACTACTAGAAAATAGACCTGTAACGACGCGCTTTTTACGACACGCGCTGCTGATTAATGATACGCAAAAGGACGTGCCCTTAAAATTGTGTCATCTCTCCAAAAAATTTAAGGATTTACATCACGCATTATTGCGTGCCCATAATTTAGTGTCTCAAGAAAAAAAATTAAAATACGGAGGGTGCTTTATCTTAAACGCGCGTCGTCTGTACCTGTCGCTTTATAATTTTAATGAAACGTGCTTTTAGTTAATGAAGGGGGAAGTGAAATCTGCAAAATTTTGAAAACTCGCCTTGTTTTTTCTATCTTCTATCTATTTTTCATCCTTGCAATCCACTCTCCCCTTTCTGATACTCTCTCCACTAGATCTCCCTTCATTCTCTACCTCCTGTCTCTCTTTGTAAACCACTACAAGAAAAAGACACTTTAACGACACGCAAACCACGACACCTAGTGATTTATGTTACGCAAAAGGGAGTGATATTAAAAAAGTGTCGTGTCTTCAAAAAATTTAAGGATTTATGTCACGCATTATTGCGTGCCCTTAGATTGGTGTCTCCTGTAAAAAAAATAAAAACACGGAGGGCACTTTATCTAAAATGTGTGCCCTCTGTCAATGTCGCTTTATGTTTTACTCAAAACGCGTGTTCTTGAACGGGGAAATGAAATCCCCGAAAATTAAAACCCTCTCCTCTTCGTCTTCCTCTCTCTCTCTCTCTCTTTCTCTCTCTCTCTCTCTCTCTCTCTCTCTCCCTCTAATGTAAAAAGCCAACCTGCGATTTCATAGAGATTATTATTAAGATTTAAGAAGAAAAGAAGAAGACACGCGAGGATAATACTACTAAATTCCACAAAATCGCAGGGAATAGGAATTTTTTTTTCAAGAACGGAAACACTTGGTGCTCTCTGGCCTCTGCAACAATCGATCGATGATCTCGCCTCACCTCGTCGGCAACAGCTTTGCTCACTTCTCCTTCAACGATCTTAGGGGTATTTTCCTCCGGCGACCTCGGGCTCATGTGACCTCGTCAGAGACTGCTCAAATTTCCAGACCCTAGCCTGAATAAGACATGCTATGTGTCTTCTCTCTTCCTAATGTTTTTTTTCTTCTATTTCTTTAATCTCTTCTCTATTCATAGCTATGATTTCGATTTTGGATCTTCTCATCTTCTCCTGTGAAAACCCTAACTGAAAAACTATGCAGGTTTCAATGGCGATTTCCTCATCATTCCACGGTCCTCACATCTACTCTCTAAGCATCTCAGGTATGCTTTGTTCCTTCTCCCTTATTTTAATTCTTCTTGTTTGATTTCTTAGGTGCGTTAGGGTTCGGATGTTTCACTTTTCCTAAACCAAAAATCCATTTATTCAAGATACAATCTTCTGTGCTAAATTATATTAATTCAATGACATATGTCGGTTAGGTTTTCACAAGGTGAAATTTTAGGAATCGAAGATGGGTAGTTACAGTGATAACGAAGATGAATTTTTTGATGCCTGTGAGGCGTTTGCTTCAATGTTCGACTCAGGCTCCGATTGCTCCCCAGAAGACTGTTCTACCTCTGGATTCGACTATGATTATTGGGTTGGGAATCTGGAAAAGGGGTTAGTGACCCATATGATGTTGTATACCACGCTACATAGCAACTTTAAGAGAATTTAAGGTATTATACTACTTATGTACTCACAGTATGGGTTGAAACATGTAACTTTACTTGAAAGAGTTTTCTTACAAACACACAAAAGAGCTTTGTTACACGTATACACCTCTCATTTCAAGTTGAAACAAATCTATCTATCCCCCCCCCCCCTTTTCTCATCCACACACAAATGGGTGAATAGGTACCAGAGTGTGGAGTTCTAATGTAGTGTGTGGAAGAACTAACAACAATGAAGGTTAGTTTTATAACACATACAAATGAAGGTCAGTTTTATAACATATTTTCTTTATTTCAGCTTTTATGATTGATTTCATTTCATTATCTTTTAATCATTTGTTATTAATTTTCAGATATCTAATACACCATATAACAGGTTGTGAGCATATAACAGGTCTCAGGTCTTAGGCAGGTTCGTGAGCATATAACAGGTCTCAGGCAGTGGGTTGGCCAGATCAGAATCTGCATTTTACTTTATGGAGATGTGCTTGTTTTGTGTTTGTTTTTGAATCTCTCATTTTATACAGGGCAAAGAAAAAGTAGAAAAGAATCAAGCTCTAGAACACTCGATGAGTGAGAACTCATGTCAACTATGTGCAGTTGATTTGTTTATTATAGCATCTTTCCTTATATTTCTTCCTATTACAATATTATACTTTTTTTGTCCCCAAAAACAAACCCGTCTTGATATTATCGTTTAAGATGATCGTAGGGCGTGTTTGGCTCATGGATTCCAACGGAATCTAAAGGAATTGGATCTTGAATTCCATTACTGGAAATAGGTGCTAAGAATTGAAATCCATACTTTTTTTTCATTAAATGACTAAATTGTCCTCACAAACACATCTTTTTTTTACTTTCTGATTTCTTGAATAAGTTTACAAACCAATCTGAATTCCATTCTGGGACATGTTTGGTTTATGGATTCCAACTAAATCCAAAGGAATTGGAATCTCGGATTACATCACGGGATGTGTTCAGTTGTGGTTGCTCATATAGCTTTTTATTTCATTTATTACCCAAACATGGGAACACTTCTTGGTGTATGTACTAATATTGCTATATTATTAACTTATTACTACAAAATGTTTTGTAAAAAAATTTAATTGATTCAAAAAAATTGTCAATTTTCAGGTTATAACAACCGATGCTCGTGTAGATACTGACATCTGGTGAAAGATGGTACAGGTTGCTGTGAAGGGGAAACTACAGGCTTATTATAACCGGGCTATTACCATATCTGATAGAGCCAAACTCCATGGATGCACAAAGGATGCTGAAGAACTATGGAAACAAGTAACAAAGAATTATGAAATAGCTGTCAAACTAAACTGGAATAGTCGACATGTAACTTTTAAAAAAAAAAGGTAAGTAGCTCTATTTCATTTGTAAATTATTTGCTTCTTGTTTATGACTTTGTGATGAAATTAAATTCAGGCTCTCAACAACTGGGGACTTGCTTTACAGGTGCTTCATTTAAAACTTTCTAATATACTCCTAAACATTTTATATGTTTTATTTATGTACATTGATTAACATCAATAATGGGTGTCACAGGAATTAAGTGCAATTGTTCCTGCCCGTGAAAAACAGACTATAGTAAGAAGTGCAATCAGTAAGGTAAACAAATATTATAAAAACTTCACCTTTTTTCTTATAATTTTTCACCATGAATGGATTGTTATTAACCATATTTATAACCACCTATGAAGTTTTGTGCAGCAATACAGTTGCAATTTGACTTCCACAGAGTAATTTACAACCTTGGCACTATTCTGATCAGTTAGTTTATTTAATCTTTTTTCCAATATAATAAAATCATTGTATACTATTTATGAAATTTGATATTTTTGTCATGAATAATCTTGTTTTGTTGCAGTATGGATTAGCAGAAGACACATCAAGAACTGGAGTACCAGTTGTTGGGAATGAGATTCCTTTCAATGAATTATACAGTCAATCTACTATCTATATAGCATGGGATGGAGAAGGGGAAACATGTGTGATAGAGGTCTGTTTGTTTTTTTTTTTTTTGGGGGGGGGGGGGGCAGAAGGGTATTTATGGAAATGGGAAATTATGCAGGTGACAGTGAGTGGTGCAGGGAGTGAAAGTGAAGCAGCAAAGATTGCACGTTCAGTGGCATCTTCTTCACTTACCAAGGCATGATGGTTAATATGTTGTTATTTGAAGGTGAAATAACTGTTTCCAATTATATAATGATGATTTTTTATGGTATGTTTTATCAGGTGGTAATTTATGGTAGGGATCCAAATTGGGGGCAGATAGCCTGTGCTGCAGGGTATGCGGGGATTTGTTTTGACTGAAATGCCCTTAGAATAGCACTTGGAGATATTCTACATATGTAAGGAGGCCAACCACTTCCATATGATAGGTAACAGTAACACCATACATGATACATGATACATGATAATTGAAATACTGAAAATGCGAGAGTGTTCCAGGTCAGCAGCTAGTAATTACCTGAAAGAGGCTGGTGATGCTCATGGCACTGTCAAAATTCAAATATCCATAGGTAACTTTATTATTAAGTCATTCTTTCTACATTAAATCAAAAAGAAACTTGTGTTATTTATTTGTTTATTTTGGGTGGAATGTGAACAGAGTAACTTTTTGTTTTACAACACGAATTGTTATTTGTAGTTGAACAATTCGGACGGAAGGGAACAGAGGAAGAATATGAGGATGAGGGGGATTATGAACAAAAGCTGCATTCAACTACAAATAAAAACTCGGTATAATTTATACTTTTGTGTGGTACATGTTTTTTTTTAACATCAGTCATGGATATGTTACCTGAAGTAACACCTCTTAATCCTAAAATTTATCTGTATGAGACAAGTCTTGAGCAATTAAGAGTTGAAAGTTGTAATAAACTCTTTTGGTTGACCTGTATTTGATTACACATTAATTTAATTAGGCAGGTTTTGAAGTTTTTGATGGAAAAGAATAGTGTTAATGTTCTTCATAGAAAAGTATGTTGGTATTTTAGGAAATTTGGCTAATAATTTAGTTAATTATATAAAAACTGTTGAAATGTTACATTTGTCTACTATTGGAATGATTATTTGATGTATTAGATTTGTCTACTATTAGAATGATTATTTGTATGACATTAATTTTTGTGCAATGTATTGTATTTTTTGTGTATGGTATTTTATTTTCTATTATGAGACATGAAATGCAAATTTAATTTAAAAATCAGTAAATCTATAAATAATTTTTTTTTAAATTAAAATTACAATACGCAAAATGTGTGTCGTCTTCATCTATGACATGGCCTTTCTTGACAGGGGCTTCCTTGATACGCATTGCGTGTCATAAACACGCGCATCGTAAGGTTACGACATGCAAATGCATGTCGTCTTCCTCTATGACAGGGCCTTCCCTGATACGCATTGGGTGTCATAACCGCGCGTCGTAAATGCGTGTCGTCTCTTTTTATGAAAGGGCCTTCCTTGATGCACATTTGCGCGTCATCTGAGCGTTTTACGACACGCAATGAGCGTCGTAAAAGGCTGTTTTTCTAGTAGTGAACCTTGAAGGTGAATCGTAATTGAGCTGCGAGGTCTCCTTCTTTTTCTTTGTTTTCTTAGGTACGACATCCTCCCAATCCGTTAACCCATTTCATTTTTCATTAAAAAAACCCTAATTGACTTGGCAAGTTCATGAACCAGATGTAGCACATTCCAAACTGGGTATTTAACCAAACCCGATAGAGCCATTAACGAAATCTTTGGATTCGGTCAACAAGGACTCTCTGTAATCGCGCAGCTTTCTTCACAAGGGATCGCTCCAGGTCTTAAATCTATCAATCTACAATGGCCATTGTCAAGCTACATTGAATCAAGGTTTAGGGTTTCAAATGCTTCAAGTTCTTCCCAAATAACTTCCCCTCTCAAGACGATTTTCCTCGATCGTATCTTTATGGCGACGATTCTCTCTCGATCGGATCAAAGACCGCTCACTCTCTCCTTAGATCTCCATGTGAGTTTGATCCCCCCCTCTTTGTAACACCCTCGCTTCCTTCCAGAAATCGAAGACCATTCTCTCTCGATCGTATCTTTATGGCGAAATTTAGACACAATAATCTCAACAAAAAATTGGTAACTGAACTCCTCTTCACCTCTACCCTACTCCATCTACAACGACTCCTCAAATTTACAAACCCTAGTCCAATTATGCTTCTAGCCTTGGTCCTTTTTCTTCATCCGTTCAAAAAATAAGGGGGAACACGACCTTGATCAGATGGATTGGATAGAGAAGATAACAGGAGTTATTGCCTCGTTGCTAATCTCTCAAGTTCCCGAGAGGGTGAGTAATCTACTTCGACACACATATGAAATTTTGAATATTAAATCTCTTGTGTTTATGTTTATGTTTTCAGTGTTTATCTGGTAGTCCTATGGGCAGTAGCCATCATCGATCCGCCAGTGATAGCCTATTGATGTGTATTTTTAATGCACTAGTTTTTTATTTATAAGTCCTAATTTATCGCATCTAAACCACACCTTACAGGCAGTGAACCTGATCGAGTATAGTATAGCTTTGATAAGCAAGGGTGTCGATCACAGGGAACGGTGGTGAATTAATTTAATATATTTGATTATAGTTTACAGGTCACACGAAAAGAATAAAGAAGTAGTTTAATAAATCTCAAACGAACAATTAATTAAGAACTCTCGATAAACTAACAGGAAAGCAAATCTCTTCAGGTACTTTGGTTTAGACAAATTACACTTTAAAAACATAGACAATTGCATACACAAATTCATTTATTCATGTTCACCGATTCCTAAAATGATTAGATTCGTGTTCACTATAACTAATCCTTTAGCAAACAAGTTAATTCAAATAGTGATCAGTTGATTAAACTAACATGCTTCCTAGTGTTCAGTTCGTATCAAACAAGACTTGCAAATATAGTTAATCAAATTAGGCATTCAATTAACCTCTTGTTGATGGTCATCAAACAAGGCTCACACATTAACTTACTTATTCCCAAGTTAATTCTAGTTTCACATTCGTTATTCCTAGACTTACAATCTCGATGGTCACCAAAATCATAAGAGACAAGCAATCAAGCATATGTTCATACAACTCAATTCATTTAACAATTAACAGCAAATAATTATCATTAATACGTAAGGATCTTTTAACAAGCTCGGCAAGATAAATTAAACACAAACAAACTATTCAATATAGCAATTAGTCTAATAATCAAAGTTTCATTCAATCATAAACACAAAGTAAAAGGTTTTTACACCCAAGTCAGAAACTAAATACAGAATAGTAACACAATGGAATGCTAAACATGGTCACGTTAACAAACCATATGATTACCGACACGTATCCTCTCTCCAACCCTTCCGATCTCCGCTCCCGTTAGCTTAACGGCCTTCCGGCCACCTCCTAGACCCTCAAAACGGCAACTATGAAGTTTTCTTGTTGCACAAGTCGAAGTGGAATATCATAGATTCTTAAAATTGTGGAATTATATGGGGTATTTATAGTTGATGGATATGGATTTATATGGAATATTAGAGTTGGATTGGAATAAGGAAACTAATGTGGCTTAGGGATTAAGCAAATAAAGATAAGGAAAGTGGTGCTTGGGGAATAAGTAACTTGGAGGGAATTTCCGTCCAACTTTTATGCTTCATCTTCAAGTCCGAGTTTGGATAAGATAAGTGTCGAATTAGCCAAAAGTCCCTCTCACATAAGTCGTAGGAAATTTCGTCTAGTTTTCAGAACATTTTGAATCTCGTCAATTGAACTTGTGAGTCATCAGATATACCTGAAACACTGAAGAGGGGTCAATCTGCCAGCAATATCCTTTTTGCATCTTTTCAGCTCCATTCTCTTTCTTTTGCATTCCATCTCCCATTTTAACTGTAATTAAATATTTCAAAGCATATTAAGTTTATTTTAGTTCTAAATAATAATAATAAATGCTAAAATATTAAGATATGTTATACATAAATATATATAAAAATACACATATCACCTATCCAAACACCGGCCACCTATAAGTCATTCGATGAAATGCCTAAGGCAATTAAGGTATTTATTCCAACTTATCTTTTCCCGATTCATGAGCTTATTATATGTGTTTTATCATCTGTTTTCTTCAGGCATGCTTAACAAGATCACCATTTGAACTTGTGATAGTTATTGGCAAATGAATGAGGTATTTATTGACCATTGTTTGCAGCCATTAAAACTCCCAACTAAATTTACTTTTCTACCCCTCTCTTTCCCCGATACTGAACTATAGGTTTCAATGTGACTTCCTTAATAAAGTTTATATCTTGGAATGTTTTGAACCATGTTTCTTTATCCAAAAACTGCATATTTTAGAGGCTTTGCTTCCAAAGGGTATAATAGTCCCTTCATCCTTTGAGACTGTGGGCCATATCATCCACCTAAACTTGAGGGAAGAACATCTTCCATACAAGAATCTTATAGCTAAGGTTGTTTTGGACAAAAACAAGCCAAAAATACAAACAGTTGTCAACAAGATTTATTATATCAATAATGACTTTAGAACCATGTCACTTGAAGTTTTGGCTGGAAATCATTCTCTTGTGACACGAGTAGTAGAAAATCGACTTCATTTTCATGTTGATTTGGCAACAGTGTAATGCTTGGGCAGGTGAGTTTTTTTAAATAATATTATTATATCTTTAGTAAGAGAGTTATGCAAATGGTTAATGGAAAAAATGACAATAAACTTTCTTCAAATATTTGATGAGAACTGTTGTTTGGGATGAATGGTTACACTTGTGAAATCTAGATTTAACTTCATTTGTTTACTAACATTAATACCAATTTCATTTTGAATTTAGGTGATGTCTGATAGTACTCCTAACCAAGAATTAGTAAATGTGTTCAGTGGGAGAAATCTCATGGATACTTTTAGTTGGAGTCATAAGTACCATTCATTGTGATTAATAATTAAAAATCTCTTGTATTTCCTTAAATTGAGTACAACCCACATATATATGACATTTTAAATGTTTTTGTTTGACTTTTATATGCCTCTGGGTAGCGTTAGCTTTACTGGACTTGCAGACCCCATCCCTGAGTTCACACGGTGCAACCTCGTACCCTGCTACTGAAGTAGATGGGATGCACTGACATTACCCTTCCAACTCTCTACTCACCAAATTTAGAGAAGTAACCTCGATCAATCATGGGTTCCATTAACAATGGTCGTGGTGGTGGAGGTGGGAACCACATAATTGATACTTTTGGAAGGCTCTTGTAAGTATAAATAATAGTATATATAATCAATTTTATTAATTTCAGCTTCATTTTTTGTACTTCTTTAACATTCTGATCAAATTAATTTATTTGATTTGGAATTAATTTGTTATAAAAATTAGGACTCGTGTCTTGCGACATATAGCTTCTGAGCTAAACTTAAAGATGAGGAAATATGAGCTAAATTTGAGGTAATATTCTGTTTCATGATTGTCTTTCAAGATGGCCCACTAAAAATTGAAGCTTGGCTTTTGAAGCTTTTCTTTGATTTACAAAAATGGTAACAATTTGCTCCCTGTGATAACACTATAAAGATATGAAAAGGAATTAATTTGGCCCATTTTCTTTTACTTAATTACAAAGCTTTCTAAGACTAATCTTGATGACAAGGACAATTATGTCCTCTGCACATACAAAAGATCAAAGTTTTGGTGTGATTGAAGTGTTTTTGGGGTTACAGGTGCATGGAATGCTATCACAGATGGACCCCGCATTGGTGAGTTATTGTGAAAAAATAGCAGAAAACAGGGGCCCACTCACTCTGCCTGAAGAAATTGGTGGATCTGTTCATGTTGCTCAGATGGAAACAAAAACCATGACAAGGGCAAGTTCTCGTCTAAGGAATGTCCAACAAGAAGTCAATGTGGATCAGAGCTATGAAGTCACAGCTGAAATGGGGGCCCACTCACTCTCCCTTTTCACTAAAATAGAACAACAACATAATTAGGTTCCTCATTCTCGTTCCCATACTTGTTTCTATTATTCTATATTATATGAATATGATTACATCAAATCCTAATAATTATTAATAAACCATGAGGGAGAATATGTGATTTTGATATAAAACCACCAAACAGAAGCAGATCCAACTGTCATCTCCTTAGTGCTTGAAACAACAAATCCCTATATATCTGAATTCTGAAAACATAGTAAGCTTATTCGTGGAATACATGATTTGAGAAAGGTTGTGAATAGTATACAATCTTCTAACATCATTTGTATGTTCACAAGAAATTAAGCTTAATCGTGGAATACATGATGCACTTGCATCTGAAGAGGCTTTCTTCCAAAGTCATCCGGTAGGGCCCATGATGTAGATTCAAATTCATTTGCCAATAATGTAAGGATACATACATACATATATATATATATATATATATATATATATATATATATATATATATATATATATATATATATATGTATATATTATAATATTATCTAAACTTTGGAATGTTAACTTTTCTTAGTTACAGGAAGCATCCAATTCGAAGGCTACTACTATTGGCAAACATTCCACAGGCGGCATTGAATCTAGGGCGATGTTTATCCTGCAAGTTTTATTTACCAATTATTCTTAATGTTGTTGTTTATTTTATATTAGTATTTAATGTTTAACTGTTTTTCCATCAGTGATGAAGTTGTCCCATCTGAATCCCTAATCAATAAAGAAAGTAAACTGCAAGAAACTGATGATAAAGGAAGTATTATTGTTGAAGAAAAAAGCAGAAATGAAATAGAGAAACCACAAGCAGATAAAGAAGCAGCAGTAGCACATGCTAAAAATAGAATTTTAACAACAGGAACAGGAAGAAATCGCTAAACACAAAGTGCACCTCTTGTGGCTGCTGCAGTCTTGAATCATTCAAAGTCTGACAGGACTTGTACTTTAGAAAGGTTTTTACTTTTCTTTCATTATTGATTATATTTGTAAATATTATATCTTACTGATTTCATTGTTGTTGTTAATAATAGGTGTGAAACTGAAAGCTCACAATTTATTGATAAAATCCATCATCAGCTCCAATTAATTATGGGTTCCCAAGTATTTATGTTTCTGACCCTTTTCCTTTCGTGATCAATGAAATGAATTTTGTTCGATATATTTTGTTTTTGAACGAATGATTAGGTTTCTACAAATCTTTCTTAAAGCATATGGCACTTTGGTTTATTATATTTTGTCACATCAACGGTAAGTTTTCTGTCTTGAGCTGTTTATATACTATTGGTTCCCTTCAATTACTCATCTCCATTATGGAATTCAAGTTGTGCATAATATCAATTAGTTATGTGCTAGGGCAGCCTTCCAGGTTTGGTGGTATGTTTTGTGCTGATTAATTGTCACTCTCTAGATACGTATATGTATAGAAAGGAATTTTTTTTAACATGAACAAGGATAAAAGTGTAATGGTTTGGTTAGTTTTCTTTTCTGATTTGAACTACCAGACACTCCTACAAATTCAAAAGGATGATAGCATGGGTAAGGAGTATCCTTTGGGAGCTGCCCTTAAGGCCATCAAAAGTACTTTGATTCAAGGCAATACAAAACTCTTATTGGTATATCATTTTGATTCCACTCTCATACATACATACCATGTGTATTATTAATTAGTTGATATTGATATTGTACAACTGACATGATTATTGTGTAGGATTTCCGTGTTGTTCTTCATTAAGAGTTGGGATTCATATTGAAGCTAATAGACATGATCATTGGTTGGATACATGAAGGGTTTCAGAGCTTCTTATGACAGCTTAATGGTGAGTTACTTAAAAAAGAAGGTCCCCTTTATATCAATGTAGTATTAGGTTATATAGTTAGGGAAAACCTCTTAATAACAATGTACAATCAGATCCCTTTAATATCAATGTATTACAATGTATTGTATTTTTTGGATATGGTATTTTATTTTTTGTATATGGTATTTTATTTTCTATTATGAGACATGAAATGCAAATTTAATTTGAAAATCGGTAAATCTATAAATATATTTTTTTTTAAATAACAAATTAAAATTACGATACGCAAAAATGTGTGTCGTCTTCATTTTTGACATGACCTTTCTTGACAAGGGCTTCCTTGATACGCATTGCGTGTCATAAACACGTGCGTCGTAAGGTTACGACACACAAATGCGTGTTGTCTTCCTTTATGATAGTGCCTTCCTTGATACGCATTGCGTGTCATAACCGCACGTCATAAATGTGCATCATAAATGCGCGTCGTCTCTCTTTATGACAGGGCCTTCCTTGACGTGCATTTGCGCATCGTATGAGCGTTTTACGACGCGCAATGAGCGTCGTAAAAGGTTGTTTGTAACTTATGTATTTTTCATATTTCTAATTTTTCATTTTCCCAATTACATATTATCAATTAATTTATGTAATTGTAGATTAACATTTTATAACTTATTTATATATACTTTATAAAAAAAAATATTTCAGTAGTATTTTATTTATATTACTAATTATATACATATTAATATGAGTAGAACAAATATCCAACGGACTTTTGTAGGTAGCCAATGAAAATATACTTCTCACTTCTAACGAAAGCTTCACAACCCTATACTTTGATATTTTCCAATGAAGGAACTTTCCCCATCCACATCTCCTGAGGTGTTTTGGCAATATTTTTAGCAGGGACAAGATTGAGGATATGGGAAACTGTCTATAAGTCATACCCGTCAAAATATATGGGAACAGTGGCTCGATTCATCATGGAACGAACCATGTACAACAAGGTCCGATTGCGTCTCTCATCCATACCGTTAAGTTATGGTGTTCTAAGAGGAGTCAATTATGAAACTATTGCACATTCCTTGAGGTAGTCATGGAACTCAATACTAATATACTCTCCTTATCTATCATATCAGAGCATCTTTATCTTCCTGCCAAATTGATTCTCAACTTCATGTTTAAACTCTTTGAACTTTTCATAGGTTTCTAATTTATGTTTGATCAACTAGATGTAAAAATAGCTACAATAATTATCTATAAATGTAATATAAAACTGATTAGCATCTCTTGTTGTAGATCGGAAGGGTCCACAAACAACTATATGTATGAGGTCCAACAGACCTTCACCTCTTTCATAAGGTCCATTGAAAGGTGATTTTGTCATCTTACCCAAAAGACAAGATTTGAATTCATCATCTGGCCATAGGTCAAATGATTCCAACACTCCATCCTATTGGAGTTGGGTGATTAATTTCTTGTTAATGTATCGAAGACAACAATGCCACAAGATTTCCTTGTCTAAACCATTAGACAAATCAATGTGAAATACATTATTGCCTAAGCTACCAACAAAAGTCACTATTTCATACACACCATTGCAAGGTAAAGCTTCAAATATAAAAAACACATTTTTATAAACTAAAATTGAACTATTTAAATCCTTAAACGAGTAAAGAAAACCTTTTATGAACAATGCATGAAATGAAATAATGTTTCACGTTATTTCTGATGAATAACAATAATTAATCAAATCTAAACTAACATCACTACTAATCATATGATGATAAGTTCCAATCTTGGTAACACGAGAAGATAGACTATTCCCCATGATCAAATTCATCCTCCCATGCTCGACCTCTTAGCTTTCTATTAGTCACTGCAAATCAGAACAAATATAAAAACCACATCATGTATCAAGGACACGACAACGAGTAGATTATGAGTTCTTAGTTCTAATAGTGTAGATACATGCTCATGATGGCTTCACCTTGCCATCCTTGATGTCTTGCAGGTACTTAGGGTAGCTCCTCTTCTAATGACCCTTGTCATTGCAATAGAAACAAGTGGCCTCTTTGGGGGTCACTAACAGGTGGAATGTCTGAATTGGGCTTCACCTTTGGCCCATTTCTACATGACACAACATGGGCCTTTCCACTCCAGTTAGTTTTAGGAGAAACATTTCTTTTATTCCCTTTGCTTTTCCTAATTATGAGAACGGGAGCATTGGTAGTAGTAGGGGTTTGATTCTTTCCCTTCATTCCCGAATCATTAACATGTAGAAAGTTATGGAGTCGGGTCAATGTTGTTTTTGTGTTGTTCAAATGATAGGCCAAAATGAACAAATCATAACAACTTGGCAAGTAGTTCAAACCTAAATCATTGGACAACTCCTCATTGAAATACACATTGAACGTAAAAATGCATTCCATGTACCTTTGCATTCTCTACACGTGGGTGTACACATACTCTCCATATTTCATTTTACAAGCCATGAAAGCTTTGACCACTTTATATTTCTCTTGAAGAGCTCTCTTGTGGTACTTTTCCACAAGTTCATTATTTCATCTCATAGGGCCAATAGTCCTCATAGAACCTCTACAACTCAGGGTCCATTGTAGCGACCATTATGCATGCAACTTTTGTTGCATCGTCATAGTGTTTCTTGTAGGAAGCTAGTTGCTCTAGAGTAGCAGTGGATTCATCGGTCTCAACAAGTTTTTCTTTAAGGGCATACTTTTTTCCCTCAAATCGAAGAGCCATCTTTAAGTTACACATCCAATCATTGTATTTGGTGCCATCAAATGTCACCTTTGACATGAACGAGAGTATGGAGAAACCCGAGTGGTTAGTAGATGATGAAGGAGCAAAAGCATCACCAGGAGTAGACATCTATACAAAAAAAAGAAGTAATTTTAGTTAGATGATAAAATAATCCATAATATTTGACCCATAATAAATATTTGAGGCTAGGAGTCAACTATGCAATTCACAATCTAGAAGAGGGATGCCATAATCTAATTGTTAATTTTATAAAGGTAGGTAAAAATATGTTACCAATTTCAATCAAAATGAAATTCCTAGATCTTGTGAGATTCATTGAATCTATCAATGGCATGTTTAATCTCATATTATGTCCTCCTATTTGTGACTGGGATACCGAGGATCACAAACAAGATATGAATAATCATGCAAATGTGCTTGGCAACC